ACCCCAAACCACCGGAATTCCTCCCTCACCACGACCCAGCCATCAAAATCGGCGCCCCACACCCGAAAAACCATCCCTTCCTTTTCCCCAACTTGGAAAAAGTCGTTATTGACCGTTGGAGAAGTCGCCACGACGAGATGTGTAGTCGTATCATGTTGTTCTCCTTGCATTTTAATGGAGTGTTTAATCTTGGCCGTTTATAAAATACCGGTGTGGATTTACTGTCTAATTTTGTGGAAGTAACAGTTAAGGGAGAAGGGTGGTTTTCGAATTTTTGGGGGTTGGGATAGGAATCATGGGTAAATTCCGGGGAGTGGTGACCTTCCTTCACGCTGACGCCGGTTTTGGGGGAAAGGTCGCCGGGAAAAGGTGGAGCCGAAGATTGGGGAGGGGATCTGGGCCAGGCCGGTGGGAGGAGGGACGCCGGAGTGTCGGACTTAGGTGGTGGTGGATTGGTGGGGTTGCCGAGGGGGATGAGGTTGGGTGTTCTTTTTTATATATATATTTTATTTATTTTCAGCCACTTAAACCCACAAAAACAAAAAAAAATTACCTCTTTAACAGGTGTAGACACCCATTTGTGTCTCCCCAAAACCAAACCCGGTGATGAGTACCTTTCACGTCGAATCATAATCGAATGAAGTGAAAGTGTGAAAAGTCTACTGTTGCGGATAGTTTTAATTTCTTTTCTCTTCTCTCTGTTTTTGAAAACTTATTTTAAGAAAACAGCCAATCCAGTTTGGTTGTTCCATGATATGGGTCCAATAGTAGTGTAGTTGGATGGGGCTTGACAAGAGCTTTCCAACGATATATTATAAGCCCAATTCCGATGAATATTGAGGAAATTATGGCCAATTTACTAAACTGGGCCCGGTTTGAGCCTTATATGCGGCCCAATGATCTAGGGGAGGGCCTAATATGATTTATCATTCCTAATGAAATTAGGAATGGTTTTAGTCTTCTAGATTCTTCTAGAAGGTTCTTTTTATTCCTAATTCAATTAGCATTGATAAATTGACTTTTGTTGACTTTTCAGAGTTTTAATTAAAATCAAAGAGCATTTTTGAGGAAAACACGATTTTATCCTCCTGTACGGTAATTTTTATCTGATTTTAAGAAAACGCATGATTTTCCAAATCAGAGCCAAACGCCAGCTGTAGCGCCTGGCGCCAACAACCAGCGTTGGCGCTGGCTCTGTTTTAGGTGCGCCGAACTCTGTTTTGATATTTTATCTTTTTGGCTGATTTTCTCTATAAATAACGTATTGAAAACTCCGTTTTCATTCACCTACAACCAGATTTCATCTAAAAACCAGTTTTCATCTACAATCTACCAACTCTCATCAAGATTCTCTTGATTATTCTCTCTTATTCTTTTTCTAAACTAGCTTTTCAAATACAAAATTCCGCATTCATTAGATCTAGATACACCTAGCCATATTCGAAGTTGTCTTCGCCCTAGATGTGAAAGGTTTAATTTCTGAGGGTTTGGTCCCAAATCTCTCTTTCAATTATTTAATTATTTAATTGTTTGTTTATTATTTTCCTTGAAGTTACTAACGTGTGTATTTTGTTATTATAAAGAGGTACGAGGCATCAAAGTAAGTGATTTAATGGTTTTATTGATGTTATGATGTAGAAATCATGCTTAGATTGTTATTTTGATTCCTAGTATCATGTCTAGGGTAATTTTAATATTAAGTATGATTAAAAGTACGATGCCTTTTATGTTCTTCCTAATATTTATGATCGTTAGTATCATATTAGGGTTAAAGCTTTGATTTTTATTGCTTAGTGACATGCTAGGGTTTGTTATTAATCATGTTAGTATCATGCCTAGCTACTTGCTATTATTATGCTTTAACATAATTATCATGATTATGTTATTATAATTATGGTGATTATTATTATGATTAATATGATTATTATTATGATGATTATAATTTTATTGTCATGATTATTATTATTTTATGATTATGTTGCTTGATATTTATTGTTAATGCTTGATCACGCCTTTATTCATGTTTAAAGGTAATTTGTACTTGTAATCACGCTTAATAAGATAATTAATAATCTTGTTAGGGTTAATTTGATTATAATTTCAAGTGATCGCCAATAATAGATTTATTTGTGCATTAAATTCAACCAACATAGATAAACAGGTTTAGGGTTAATCCTATTGATTGCATGTTAGTCAGAAAGCACACATGAATACGATCAGAATAAAGTAGAGGCCTATTATTAGGGCAGGTTCAATCTCTTTTAGGTTGGATTTGTACCTTCATCCTCGAACCCTTATTTGGTTCAAGACCTTATGGAGTTGACGATCTCTTGGATCGTTAAGGGGTGTAACCTTCACCCTGTGAACGGTTTACAAGTTCCTAAAACTTGTTGGCGACTCTTTTGCTCTATCTTCTTCCCTTTTGGACGCCACCGTACTTTAGTGTATGATCACAGTGGGGTTCAAGCAAGGGGATTAACGCTTGAAATTATTCCTGATAGGCGTGTCGCGTACCTAACAAAAATAAACCTAACTAGACCACTACTATGTAGATGGGCAAGCAAGGGTCGGATCCCAAGAGACTATGGTTCAACTAATTAAATAGACTCAAGCAATTACCAAGCAAGTAACCAAATCAAATAAATGGGAATCAATATCTAAAGAACTAATTAAAACGATTAAATCAAAACAATATGACAAATCAATGCTAAAAACATCCAAGATCAAGCTTCACCACGAATACAATTAATGCAATAATCGTTCTACCCCTAACACATAATTCAATTGATTAATGAGGAAAAGTAATCCATGAATAATATCGATGGTCTCTCCCGAGTTATCAATGGCTTCTCTAATCACAATCAAGCCTACTTCCGTGGAATCATGTAAATTAAAGACCTTAAGCACATTACTCTAACTTCCTAATCATCCATTCAACTACTCCCGTGATGAACTTCAAACCCTTAATTGATTTATTCAAATCCGTCAAAACCCAACTCCCGTTGCGATTAAAACAAAGGATTAATAACAATACCAATTATCCCTAATCTAGTATTGGCATAAGCATAATCAATGTAGCATATCAATTACAATTATTATTAGAGAATTTAAAGAATTAAATCATGCATTAATCATATTCAGGTTCCACTAGATCTTGGAATAAAGAAACTACTCACACATATTAATGAAAGCAAAAACAATATTCAACGAAGAAAACATGATTAAAAAGTAATAAAAAGTAAAAGAAGAAATAAAGATGAATACCAATTGCTTTAATGAAGAAAAGTACCAACTGTTGATGAACAAAGATCAAAACTTGAAAGTGCAAATTAATCTAGATCTAGAGAGAATATTAGGGTTCTAATGAAGGTTTAAAAGCTAGAATATAATAACTAAGTATGTTTAGTCGGGATTTACAAAGGGTATTTATAACCCTTAAAATAAGAAACCCGAAAATAGTAAAAATACGCTTCGCGAAAACTCCGTCTGGTCAGACCGGGCAAAGCCGCCCGGTCGGGCGTGACAGACAAACTCGCCTCCTCGCACAATACTCTGCCCGCCCGGTCTGCCAGGGCAATGCCGCCCGGTCCGGGCGGATAGGAGTTGAATTCTTCACTTCTTTTCTTCTTCGCCCTGGCTGCCAAGGCAATGTTGCCCTCCAGGGCGATGGGGGTAAGATACATATCTATGTACTACTTTGCTCTTCTCTTCTCCTTCCTTTGCCCTGGCTGCCAAGGCAATATTGCCCTGGCAGGGCGGACACGGGTATCATCACTCTTCCATCTTAACAAACTCTCGTGACCATCCAAATTAGCCTCGTTCATCCTGAAATACATCAAAAACAACGAAACTACCCATAAAAGCACAACATGATCACAACCAAATCAAAACAAGCTAAAATAAGCTATGAACAATTAATCTAAGCTTGAAAACTACCTAAATGAACTCTAAAAACACGCTCAATATACGACTTATCAATTCCCCACAACAGGTTACCAGTCACTTGGGACCATTTTAAGCGAATATCCCTTAAAGTTCGGATTATTTAAAAAAAATCTAAAGTTGAGACTATTTTGAGCGAATCGGCGAAAGTTGGGATTATTTTTGTCAATTTTTTCTTTTTTTGGACGAAAAGCAAACTCAATTTATTAAGGAGATAAAGCCTCCTAGTAACTGCCAGAAATTTCTTGAGGATATTCCTCAAGCCACGCCCTCAGTTCATTGTAACTCTCACAAATTAAAGATTAGCCGAGTTATGAGCAACTCTATTTCCCTCCCTTTTCTCAAAAGAATAAGAAACAAAAACACAAGAATTGGCCAAGAAAGTTTTCAAAATAAAGAAACGGAGCAGGTATTTAAAAACAGATGGAGTATTTTAGTGTTTGTTGGAAAACGGATTCAAATAGCTTATTCCACTAAACAAGCTCCTTTTAGAAGTTTTTTCATTAATTTATTCAATATCTTGAGGTGAAATTACACTTATACCCCCAAAAGGCCAAAACCCTATCTTAACTACCTACCCCCACAATCAACTTATTGGTCATTTCACATAGTTAAACAACTTTAAGCAATCATTTATCTACCAAAATCTTACATACAATTAGCTACTCCATCCGTCCCAAATGTAGTTATTATTAATGTTTTTTCACGGCATTTAAGAAATAAGAGGAAGAAATGGAAGTACATCAATAAAAGTGAAAAATACATTTATAGACGTAAGTTGGAGAGAGAATGTGGAAAAAAGTACAAAACATGTGCAAAAGTTAAGGGTAAATTAGGAAATACAATGAATAAAATTAAAAAAAGTGAGGAAATAATGGTATTTACATACTATTCAAAAATAGAAACAGGAACAACATTTTGGATTTCCAAAATAGGAAAACATGAATTATATTATGGGACGGAGGGAGAATTTAATACAATTAAATAGTCAAATCACTTAATACAATCATTTAGTCAAATTAGTTAATATAATCATTTAGTCAAAATCAACTAACAAAATCGGATTCAGCTGTAAGAGGCCTCGTACGTGCAGACTGGGTGGGTTGAGTCAAGGATAGGTGGGTTATGGGCAGGGTGGGATAGCTCAACATAGGATTGGCAGCCCGGGTTAGGGGTAGGGTGGGCCAAGTCGTGGGTTGCAGAGTAAAAAAAAAAAAAAAAAAGGTGTCGTCAAGGTTGGGTTTGTTGGTTAAATAGGTGGGTCGAGTAGGTTCGTGGGTGGATCAAGTTGGTTTTTTGGGTTAGGATTAGGTGGGTCAAATGGTAGTTAGTTGTACATCAAATATGTTTTTTTTTAGAGAGCCACCAAGGCGAGAGTGATAAGAATCGATTTTAAGATCTCTTTGAATCGGAAAAAAAACTTTAACCATATGAGTTATCCTTTATTCTCGTATAGGTCAAATAGGTGAGTGTGTAGGCCAGGTGGTTAATTGGTTAAATATCCAAGTTTGTTTTTCAAAATAGTCTCCCAAAACATATTTGGTATGATATTATTTGACCCAACAATAACTTAATGACTACTGATGTAAAGAACCAAAATCTTTTTAGTGTGGCTACTACTTTTATTTTTATTTTTTTTTTTGAAAAAATATAAGATGAAAATTTTCAAAAACTAGCAGAGAATAAGATCTCAAAACTCATTAATACAGTAGTACCAACCAGCTAGGACACACTCTAATCTTCTGATTTAACCCCCCACCCCACAACCCACATTAAAATAAATAAAAGAAAGATTCCAGTAATAAAAACTAAAAAGGAAATAAATAAAGAAAACAAAAATAATGAGTAATAATTCCAATATTTAATTCCCTGAGCCGGGTCACAAAATCTAGCCGTTACACTATCCCACCGCTATCTATCTAATTTCACGTTACACCCCACAACCACTTTTTAAAACATCAATCTGACCGTTACTCTTTTATTCTCTCTCCTCAAAACACTTGACTTCCTCTGCATCTTTTTTTTTTTTTTACTTCACTTCTAACTCTTCTTGTCTTACTTTCTGTATTAGCTAACTCCCTCATCATCATCCTCCTCATACACCTCACTCGATTCGATAAAAATGTCGGTGGCATACGCGTTTGGTAAGGAAGATTTGGCAGTGGATCAAAGCCTTGGGTACCCAAGAGCGTACGCTAAGCTTTGTAAAGATACAAGTATTAGTCCTTATTGTCATGGTCCTCCTTTTACTTTCACTCCCTATTCTTTACATCCCCAAGAGGTAAAATATAAATTATAAATTAAACAATTTTGTTTGGAAATATTATATTTTCTTGATTTTAGAGTGTTTTGTTGTGAATTTGTGATTGCATAATTGATTTGATTGGATTTGTAACATGGTTTTTTTTTTTTTTTTTTTATATAGATATTGTTGGTTCTAGATATTGAATAATTGATTTAATTTTGCTTCTAATTTTAATATGCTTATGGATTATATGATTTTGGAAAATTGAATTGTACTTTCCGAATAGTAATCAAAATTGATTAATGATAACAGGGTAGGTTACAAAATAGGAAATTGAATTGGGCTTCAATTAGTGGAAATAGTTAGCTAAATCAACCATTGACGATCTTGATGCCGTGATTTTGTCGTGCATTTCAAAAAAAAAAATATTGACAGAATAATGAGTAGTATAGTACTTCTATAAAAGTTACTCCACATTTTAGTGATTAAACCATCTTAATTTTATTGGGTTATTGTAGAGTTTAGTCTCTTCCGTCTTTAATAGTCACGCTAATAGTGTAACTTGAACTCGCAATATGTAGAGTTACATGATTATACATTTTGGTGATTAAATCATCTTAATTTTATTGGGTTATTGTAAATGTATGCTTCTTTTAATTTTCTTTCTGAACATTGGTTATGTATGTTTGGATATTTTATTAAGAATATATAATCTGTTTATTTAGGCATCAAGGGCAGAGGAATTAGATGATTTGTTTCCTATAATCGACCCACAAGCGAAACCAACAGCCAATTACAGAATCTTTGTTAGTATAATATGGAAGCAACTCAATCACCTAGGGTAATAACCCTTCTACCAATAACTTTTATTCTTTCTTCAACTAAATTAACCACAATTTCAAGATATTTAACTAATACTTATGTTGTTTTTTTGTGGTGATTGTTCTTAGAAATGCCGGTTTTGATCCGGCCATGTTTCGGGTTGATCCTTATGGCAATGTCATCTACCTTCATGCTGATGCCGCCTCCCCACTCGCTTGGGATATCGATCACTGGTTCCCTTGTTCAAGTACAGAACACTTCTTCTACTTATGTGTACATTACAATTTTCTTTACAAAAAATACTACTGTATATATTATATGACATATTGTGGTACAAAATGTAGGAGGAGGATTGACTATACCAAGCAATTTAAGGATACTTCAATGGCAAGTTTGCAAGAGGAAGCACAATCAGTTGGAATTTTTAGTTCCTTGGTGGGATTTGCAATTGGGCATATCTATTGACCAGTTTTTATCTGTCTTTGCTGCGTCGAATTCGGATTTTAGGTGAATGAATCGATGAGTTAACCTTTTTCCTGTGATTCAGATTTCGATTTTTTGTTATATTAGGATATAATAGTGTTGTTTATAATCTAAAATGTTGGCAATTTGTTTTGGTAGGCATAGGGCATTTAGGTGGATGTTTGCAGCAGGTGAGAACGAAGAGCTGAATGATATGCAAACTGTAGACTCTCATAATTTTCCTCAACCATTTATGGAGTCGAAAGAGCACCTTGGCCTAGCGCCTGCTGCTGTTGTTGCTCGTGCTCGAAAAGAATTTGTTGATTCCACTTTGAGAACATTAGATGTCAATAGACAGCATAGGCCTACTACTCCTATGATAGGTAATAACTTAGCACATAATCAACTAGCTTTTTCAAATATTTTTTTTTAGTCCTGTTTCTGTTATGTAACTTGTTTGTCTAATGATAGCTCCTTCGAGGAAATCGAAGAATGCTGGGTCAAAGGAGAATGAGATGCCTGATATGGCAACAAACCCTTACCAAGCCTTGGTTATGGCAAGAGATTCATTGAAGCGAAGAGAAGAGACTAATAAGATGAAGGCAGAAATTCAAAGTTTGGATGATGAAGTGACTGAATTGAAGCTAAAGAATGAGGAAGAAAAGATGACAATTCAAGAGCTTGAGTTAGCATTGATTAAACGTAGAAGACGGGCTGAAAAATGTCGTAGAGTGGCTGAGGCTCAATCTTCTTACAGAACAATGCTGGAGAAAATGATCAGAAATGCAATGCATCAGTAAGGCCTTTTTCCTCTTTTGTTGCACATTTGTTGGGAATTTTCAGAACTTCTTTTGGTTGTAATCCTAAATTCTAATTCATATTGTTTGTGAATTTTTGTAGGAGTGTGGTTTACAAAGAACAGTTGAGGCTAAACCAGGCTGCAACCAACACACTCATGGCAAGACTGGAAGCGCAAATGGCAATATGTAACTCGGCTGAGAAACAGCTTGCTAAGAAGTATAAGCAAAGGGATGAACTTGAGAAACAAATAAAGCCAGAGTGGGAACAAGCAAGGAAGAGATCAAGGACTGATATTGATGATGCTTTTGCTGAGGAGAAACAAGACCGAACACTAATCTACTTACCGAGGATCAAGTCAAAGACACCTTCACACAAGGAGCTAAGGAAGTTCCTAGAAGAAGAACACAACTTGTCAGAAGAAGCCCTTTTGATGATTGAAGAGAACAGAATAGAAGAAGAAACAGAAGAGACACCGAGACTTACATTAGACCCCGAGATAGAAGAGGAAGAAACAAGTCATAATGTGGAGGAGTCAAGTGTCAAATTCCCCTTTGCTCGAGAAGTAGATGATGATGATGAGGAATCGAGGAAGGAGAAAGGGAAAGGCAATGTAGAGAAATGGTTACATTTGCTGCTGGAAAACACAGAAGGCGAAGATAATTTGAATTTTAGCCCTCCTAAAGTAGCTCAAGAACCCGAGACTAGCAGCAATACTGATGAAATCATCAAAAAGCTCAATGAAAAATTCCCACAGAAGGAGATCAAAGTCCTGAAACCTCCTGTTTCTGATGGAAAGAAGAAGAGTGTAGAGGTTGAAACCAGTAAACCGAGGTCAATGAGCACTCCTAGGAGATCCATTTCGGTTGAGCCAAGAAGCCATGAAACAAAAAATGAAAAAAAGAAGGAAGAAATTGTTTCAGCTGAAGTTAAAAAACCAAGGGCAATGAGCACTCCAAGAAGATCCATATCATATCAGGCCGATATCACTAGCAAAGGAAGTGAAGCAAGGAAGAGTTTAGGAGCAAGGAGATCCATTTCTTCTGAGACTGAGAGTGAAGCAAAGAAGAGTTTTGGAGGAGGGAAAGATAAAGGGATTGCTAGGACTGAGAGCGCGAGGTTCTTCAGGCAACTCCCATCTTCTCCTTCAAAGATATTAAATATGAGAAAGGGGGTGGATTGTATAAGAAAGAAGCCACTCGTGATAGACGATGATGAAGACTATAATCATATTGATGAGAATCATTATCATTCGGCTGGTGACAACTTCCTCAAGTCATCCATCAAATCCATCAAGAAGGCTGTCAAAATTTAAGTTGTAAATTTTGTAATGTAAATTATTTCCATATTCTTTTTGTTTGTTGAGGTTGATATTCATTTGTGTGTGAACTTAAATTTCATTGTCAGTTTGTTTTTCAGACTGATATATAGAATAACAGCTTGTTGTTAATAAACATAGTCTTATATAAGGTAATATTACTTTACTTTTCTTCTGAATGGCATACATTACTTGACATATCCAAACTTTTGACTCTACAGGAAGACTTGTAGCCTTGTAGGCCTACAAGAAGACGTATGTATTTCGTACAAATTAACAAGAAAAACAAATATATAAATCAGTGTTATTATGCTGATGGTAATTAAAACAACAGACTTCGTATTAGAGTAAAGAAACTTGAATTGATCACGATAGAGACTTCCTCCATCTGTGTGAGTTCTTGCCCTTGGTAAGAGGGGTATGCCTTCCAAACCCGACTTCCTCAAAATCCCTCTTTCCTACATCAGTAACACTAGTTGAGCCAGAAATTAAAATGAACTTCTTCCATCTAAAGAACCCTTTCTTTTTCTCAACCACTTTCTCCAGCTGATTCTGCAGGGTAGTTATCTGGTTCTGAAGTCTGACAACATCCTCCTTTAACCTCTTGATCTCCATATGCTGGACTGAAACCTCCCGTTTAGACTGACATCGGCCTGGTGCATCATGCCTATTAGAGTTCGGGCTTCTAGCCATAGACATAGGGCCACTCCAGTCCAGCTGCCGGGAAATCTTGTTCTGTTCTGTAAACAGGACTTGCACTACTGCTCGAACAGGCAATCTTTCGTTCTGTGAGGCATGTAGGCATGCTTCTGGAGAGAGTTTTCGACAATCAATTAATCTGCATAGAAGCTTCCTTTCTTGCTTTGTTACCTTAATATGTGCCTGTACACCCACAAAAAATGTCTAATAACTTTTAAACAATATGTATATCATTCAGAAGAGACCAAAAACCAGCACTACTTGCAAAGTTGTAATGCAGTATTAGAAAATTGGACTCTTTTTAATCAGAAAAGATTCTGTTTCAGTAATAACAGGCAATAATTTTTTGGGCTCTTCTACTATTCCCTCCCCACAAAATTATGTCTTGGCATTTTCACTTGTAGGACACACCATATAAATTACTGATTAATTTTGCTGTCTTTCATATCACTATATCTATACATCAACCGACAATCATATACTAAATCATGCTTATTTCTTGCCTAAGTACGCGTCTGATTGTCAATATGTGAGACATTATATTGATTATACTAGTATAAACCCTTATTAGAAACTATGTACAACCTGAAATTACTAACATCTGTTGATGGAAAAATGCTGTGCATTATACTAAAATCATGTACTAGTAAATAAGACAGGAAATTTTGCTGAAAAAGGGAGAAATAAGATAATTAAAACATAAATGAGAGGACAAAAACAAAGGCTAGTATTCCGTACAAATACACAAAAACACAAAAAAGGAGCTATGAAAGATTACCTTGAGATAAGTATCAACAGCGCGATATAGTCCATCATCTATGGCTCTAGCATGGGCAGGGAGGGCACCAGCAAGCTGAATGAACTCCTCCAACTTCAAATTTGAGTCCATCGCGACTTCAGCTAAGTACGAGTCCATTAACTTAGCCACCTTAATTAAGGCCGCGCTACTCCTAACACCTTCATCTAATCCAACAAACCTCTTTACTAACCTCATGACTAGCTCCACATCAAGCAATGTACTACAAGTGTGATTAAAAGACGGTATCATAATCTCCTTCAATGTGGCTTGGTCTAATTGCCATGACACCCTTTTTTCTAGCTCTTCTTTATAGGTGAGCTCAACACCAACCATGTTAGCCACCCTTAGTAGCCTTAGAAGGAAGTTACATGGGACGGTGTCATTCTCCGGGGGAGGATTCCTATAAGTGTTTCGACAAAGAAGCGTTTCTTCCTCCAAGCGGATGTCACGGACTCAGGGGAGGCTGATGGGTCGTCCCCCTCAAGTGTCATGACATCCCTACTCTCGGATAGTTCAGGAACCCACTTAGACGCGTAGTGAGCAATGATCGAGCCAACAAGGTCAGGGCGTACCCCCTTAGACTTTATACCGGAAAGTGTCTTGACAAAGTAGTCCATGTCAAGAATACAAGCATCATCTAGCCATTGCTCACCCGCCAACTGCGGTGGGTTGCCTGCAGAGGTCTTCGACAAGGTGACCCTATTATTCATTTTTTGGCCTCTACTATATGGTGTGTGTGTGTTACTAATGTGTAACATAACATAAAAGAAAGAAATACCTAGACTACTATATAGCACATAATGTTTACAAGTTTCGGAGGAGTAAAAAGACGATTATACCCCTCGAAAAGTACACATATTGTACAAAATCTACAAGGGTATTTATGGAATGAATTAGTTGAGGAGGATGGGTGATAAAGAAGAGCTCAACAAAGATAAGAAAGGAAAAGACAATGTAAGATGCCTACCCTGCCTTCAAGTCATTATCCAAACAAGGGTTTTATTTTTTGTATAGAGTTTAGGGGTTTTGTTCTTTGTAATACTAAGTAAGAAATAGACATGGAGAATATTGCATTAATTGTTATTTGTCATATTTTTGGGCTCTATTTTAAGAAATTACCTCATTGTATTCTTATCTTTCTTCCTTCCCATCACTTTGTGTGGGAAAATTAGAAAGTTGTTGCACAAAAAGATAATGTGAGTGATGTATTTTCTATAAAATTCCAAACCCTTTGAAAATGAAACGTTTAGTGGGGACTAGGGATGATTGGCATAACGCCAATATTTCTATGCTGTCTAATTATGGATTCACGTGAACTCCCATGTAAATCAATATTCCAATTTTTTAACAGTGGAAGTTATTTTTGTTATGTGTAATTTGTTATGTATAATTACCTAATACTGTGATATATAGACGGAATTTGATCCCATATCTTGTAAGTTATTTGCAGTCTTTGTTACGATTGTGTCTTGGAGCTAAGGGGCCAAGTTATAACGACCTAATACTTCGTACATGCTGTGCAATTACCGATGTCGAATCTTAGGTATTATGGGGCCTAATTATTCGAGCATATATGGGTCTAAATAAAATAGGGTCATTCATTCAATCAATTGACAGTCTATGGACAACTTACTCACTAGTCTATGGCTATTGTTGGTATTATTAACTTGTCTACAAATAATTATCCCATGAATCAATAGATAAATGATTGAGATAAATATTCATTAAACTATGATTGTGTTAAATGTTTGACAAAATAACTAAAAACTTTGTTAGATGATTAGTGATGCCGACCCAATTAGAGCCTAGGCATTTGGGACTTTGGGAGTAGAAGGCAAGGTAAGGCCGATTTCCCACCACCAAGTACTACTTACAAAATTATTACACTATTTAGACTACTAATTTTCAAGGTCGCAACACTCAAAAGTGAGAAAACCTTAATCGACTACACCAATGACACACTTTCTCGGTTTCATTTTACTTACAGCACATCTTTTAGCACGCAGTTTCAGAAGATGATTAGTGAAGGTAAACAAGCGATTTTATCAAAACAATCTTAACTTGTGAAATAGAGTAGGGTTAGGTATTGTGTGATCAAATTATTTAAATAATATGCTCGTTTATACTATAAAATTCAACCTTAAAGCGTGTGTGTCATAGGACTATGTTGTAAATAAATAAAGACAAAGGAAGTATATATACTATCTTCATCTTTATTCGTTAGGCGTTCACTACCTCATGTCTTCATTAGTCATTAGACTACCTAATTCGTCGTAATCATCTAAGAAGAATATTTTGATAAAAATGACACAAACTAAAACGACCTATTTATTTATAGATCAGGATTAACTAGTAACTAGTCAATTCAACATAATACTATATGTAGGCCAGTGGGACTAACTAGTAACTAGTCAACTCAACATAATTTCAGATGATCAAATAATCACTACTGTATCTTTGATGATTCACAATTTCACAAGGTAACTTATGTTCAATCAATTTTGAAATAGATATATAGGACTAATTATCTATCTTTAATGATCTGGCAAGTTTATGTTTGGATCTCCCGTGAAGAAATAATAATAAGTCTCGTGAAAGTATTCTATTATTGTAGTTGACTTGTTGAGTTAGTTATTGGGTCTATAATGAGGTACTTTAGGTATGGTTTCATTTTGGACAAACATAATCCAAGCGCTCATTAAACCCATATCATAATGGTATATATGCCTTCTCCGTTCTCTTTTAATTGCAACGTAAAAGAGATACACGTTATTTTAAAAATTAAAAGATAAAAGAATAGCTCGTATAATGTATAATGAAAAGAGAGATAGAAGAAATCATTAGCCAAATAAATTAATATTGTAACAAATTTGCTACTCATTAAATAGAAATACGTTGCAAATATAAAAGAACAAAGTATAATATACTGAACTAAGATTAGTATTTAACGATGCTCTAGGATATTAATGCATGGATAAGAACCATGCATAAACAAAGCTCATGATAGAATCATATTTTTATTATTTTTTGTTGTATTATTTTGTTTTGGAAAGGAAACATAAAGCATGACATAAGAAATTTTGTATTTTTTGTATTATTGTAGTTGACTAGTATACTAATAATACAATCGAAAGGACTAGACATCTATTTTTGACATTCTATTATACTATTCATTAACCTAGTTTTTTCTTTGGGATTTGGAAAGAGGCACAAAGACCATAGTAGTTCATACATTCATGCTTATGCTCTAGATTCTCTCGTGAAGAGTTGTGGTTAACACCTGATTAAGGTCTTAAGCAAGCTTACTAAAAATTAGTGTTATAATTTTATTTATTTATTTATTTTTTTAAGAATGATAGGTACACAATTGGTAGTGGACTCCTTATTAGTTACTACAAGAAAATAACCAAAATTTAGTAATGGTTTTGAGAAAGAACCAAGGGTTATAAGTTTAAGAAACACATAAATAAAAAGGAAATGAAGTCGGCATAGGGTACACCCATAAGGACAATCAATTAAAGCTTTAGTTCCAAAAGTATGGTTGGCTACATGAACCAAAAATTATTATTCCGTAATTTGTATATCATTTTGGCTCATGTTATGGGATGTGATAAAGTTTTACACTGGCTGAAACCGGCCTACCATAACCCTCCTTATATATTCAAGCTTGGGAATGACAGCGGGAAATTCACAGACGTAGTTGAAAATTGTTGTTGAAAGATGAAAGCCACCAAGGACGATTAGACGCGGAGACGTAGACAAGGGACTTTGGAACGGTCAACGGTGAAGAAGGTGGAGCAAGACGGAGCACTAAGAACGGCATAAATTCACATACACTCTCTGGACTCTCATCTTCGACAAAATGCTAGTAAATGCTGATTAAAATTAAGTTAATATATACCCCTTTTTTTTATTAAGAAAAGCTAATATATACCCCTCTTCAACTACAAACTAGTGAGTAGACCGGGCGTTGCCCCGGGTTGCCACTTTTGTAATTGTACAATAAGAGTATTTTTTTAATGGATTTTGTATTTTGCAATTGTCTTTTTGTAAGTAATTTTTTTTTTTTTAATAAAGTATATGATAGTTTTGCACATCAATTTAACAATAATGAAAACAAAGAGTAAAAGGAAGTTTCTTTTTTCTTAAACAATGGGGAATAAAGAGTCAAGGTAATTTAGTACCCGCCTTAAATCATTAATATTGTCTTTTTATTTTTTATTTTTTTGAATGAATGTTTGTGTTTTTTTTAATAACTAAGGGCTTGTTTGGCATCAATTTTGGTTTTGAGTTTCCTGTTTTTTTGAAATCCAAAAACCAAAAATAGGAAACAAGAAAAAGGTGTTTCCACTTTTCTGTTGTCAGTTTTCAAAATTATCATAATTTTAATAAGTTTATATAATTTTTGATTCATTATGAGACTCATATCGTATACTTTTAGAAAACAAAAAACCAAAAAACAGAAAACCACAGCAATGTCAAACGAACCCTAAACTATGTGGTTTATATATATTCATTTTTCATATTTGTAACATGCTTGATAATTGGCTTAGATGGTTGAAGAGTTAATTTTGTTATAAGTAGTTGCGTCATGAAGGTGTTGTGAAGTGACATGGCGTCATGAAATGCTTATGAAGTGACATGGCGTAATTTGGAGGGGTCTACATGGCACATTGACCTTTTTATAAACGCCTTTTAATATATTAGTATAGATAAGCTTAGTTGACCTTATTGTAGATTAAACCAAACGTAATCAAGAGGGTAAGAAGCCAAGATAGCAAAATAAAGTTGTCCAAATTTAAAGTCAGAAAAACAAAATAAAAATTGGTTGTCTATCAAACAAAATAGGAATAATTGTAAAAAAATAAAAATAAAAAAAAACTAAAAAAAAGGAGTTAAAACCACAAGTTGAACTAAAATAAATCAAAAATGGAAGACAGGAAAAATAAATTACAAGCTAAGGCATCAAAAAGTTGCATTACAAAGGCAAGAAATTGGACCAAAAAAAAAATTTAATGTCAAAACTTGGATACTGTCAAAAGTTTTACTAGCTAAGCTATTAGAATTCAGAATTAGCGAATCAAAATACTATTCGATGTATATTTTAAATTTAAAAAAGAAAAAAAAAATTCTACTCCGTATTATAGAATTGAAAAAAAAAAATACAGCAGATTTTTTTTTTAACAAAGAAAAAAAAAATAAGGCTCCATTTGTTTTAATAAAAAATAAATAAAAAATTAAAACAAAACAAAAACATTTTCTAGGAAAAATAATAAAATTCCCATTCTCCATTGTTTGTTTGGTTATTAAAATCTTTTTTCTTACACTTGTCTTCCTACACCATCTTCTGCAGCTAATATCAACACCCCATTCTACCTGAGAAAGCGAGAATCCAGCCACAATACCCATCTGCCTCAGCCATCCCAACCGCGTGTCAACTCTCAGGCTAGCTAGCAAGTTACAGAGCTACTGTCATCGAGATCCTCCCTCTATGCTCAATGCAAAACCAGTTTGTTGTTGTGATGAAAATAAGGATCCCACTTCAATGTAGTGTAGCTGTTATAATAACGTCGTGTCTATTTATTCTGAGTTGATTGTTTGTAGTATCCTGCGAAAATGACTAGAACAGCTCAACTGGACCGCGTCTTGTGATAATTGTACATGACATGAACATGTTTTCCTTCATGTATGTTAAGACGCCCTTTTTTGTCAGTAATCGTTCTTCAATATTTCTATACCCCCCTAGAAGATCCGTTTGAAAAAACTTGTTCCCTAATGAAAGATAATCAGACTGTTTCTGTCGCCGTTGCTATGATAGCTAAGACTACTTAGTTTCACACTTTCACCTTGATCATCTAATGAAGCAAACATGTTCATGTACGAATGTCACAAGACACTGACCTAGTTGAGCTCTGCTCTCAATGTAAAGATGAATGTCAAAACAATAATGAATCATGAACTAATGATGTGCACAAAAACTGACCAGATTTATAAAAGCATGAGCAGATATTCATCCTTAAAGGGCAAAATAGGATATAGTCATCAAATTATGAAATACACCAAAATCTTCTACATTGCGGCGAAGGCCAGCAATTTTTTAGGAGCTTCAATTTTAACCACCTTAATCCAGCCAATCTATCTAACTACCTATATAATTCAACGAACATGAGCGCCTTCTTGAGGCAATCTCAGCATTTCCAGCTGGTAGGATTATTTTCAGATCCTCACTTTCTATTACAAATTCTACAACCAAACAAACTCTTTCTTCTTTCTTGTGTTTTTTGCATTGATAAATTATAGAGCTAACAAATAATTATAATCTTACTGGGACTTGAGCCTCTCAGATGAACTTCCTGGCAGGTCACCAACTGTTGGATTCAAATCGGACCCACTGCTGAGGGAACCGTTTTCGCTGCTGTTCTCAGCCACGACTGGGATCTTAACAGCAGCTCTCTCCATCTCTTTTTCGAGGTCCTCCTCCCTACGCAACTCAGTGAATTGTTTGTCCAATGACCTGGCTGCTGCTAACCATGCGGTTACAATTAGCAACAGAATTCCTCCAAGGTATGGGGTTGAGTTGGCTAGTGAGCCAAAGGTCAAGATCATGAACTGCTGGATTAGAGCACCTCCTGACTTTCCAAGTGGGTTGCAAACAACATCAATAGCTGCCTTCCCCTTAACCTGCAGATGCATTGTATACGACGTTAATAATGCAGAACCACCAGAAAAAAAAAAAAAAAAAAAAAAAAAAAAAAAAAAAAAAAAAGTGTAGAGTAAATAATATTCCATATATTAGATCTTAAAGGGTTAGCTGGAAAGTTACAAGGGTGTTACTTTCAAATATCATTAAATATTACCCGCTGTGAGGTTGGGTTATTAACGAAGAGGAAGAGAATTTTAAGGTATATTCCCAAAGTAGAATATTGAAATAAAAAGAAAATCTTTGTGTTATTAAGATAATATGATCTACATTTCACCCTCGCTCTCCTCTCTACCCTTAAATCAAACTTGTATCAATTTTGTCTGACTAGTATTGTCCTTGATGATGAGGAATTAAAAGAATACAGCTTTCACATGTAGAGTAATTGAGCTCTGTTCTACTTTTAGGAGATTGGGGGTTTGTTACTAGGACACTTTATTTCACCTCAATAACGTGTGTCAGATCCTTAAGGCGTCAACATGGGTCCACCGAAATATGGGAGATATTGTCATAAAATAGCCAAGTCAAAACCACTGAATCACTGATACCCGAGTTTAACATACATAAGCAAGTCCAGGTAATAATTCTTCAATATTATTTTAAATAAATAAGTACTTAATGGAAAGGTGAGGAAATGAAGCGAAAAAAACGAACGAGATGAGATAAGGGTGAAGAGCAACACACACTTACAACCCTCTAGTATTTCCAAGTAATTCAAGTGGAGGTTACCTTTCTGCTTGTTTGCCCATATATGGAAATTTGTTTGCTTACCCACCCCATTATACATTCCCCTTCAAGTAACACCTCTTCCAAAAGAAGCATGAAATATTGTTCCTTTCTTTCAGGACTGAGTACAGAACCAGAAACTATCTCTCTGGACTCTCGTTTCACCAAAATAAAAGAAATTTGAAGATCCAAAAGACAAAGACGATATTAAATTAGAGAATTCAGCAGAACAAACCTTAGTGTCCTCGTCCAATGGAATGTAAGCCATTTCCTTGCAAGGATCAAACAAACTGTACTTTGCACTCTTGCTGAAAATATTTTGCAAGGCACCCACATAAACTGCTGCTAGAAGAGGAGTCAACCCAATGGATCCGATCATTGGTGCAAGTGGAGCACCAAATAAAATCAATGAGAAGAATCCAACTCCTGTAATGAGAAGAACTGTAGGTGTAATGGCAGCTGCAACTCCCCAACCAAACTTGTCAAATATGAACTGACTGGCAAGCATCATTGTGAAGGTCATTATCCCGGTTGCCGTTGAAAAATCACCCATGAAAGCAGAATATTCGTTTGGACTAGGGAACTGCATCAAATATAGATATGAGAAGTCAGCTACAGACAACAAAGTAAAAGTGCATAAAAGATGTCAACTGTAAATGAATCCATACCTGAGCTTTAAGCTTTGACTTCCATGTAACCTCAACAAGGTTAATACTGATACCATAAGCAACAACAACGGTAGCAAGATCCCTAATGTACTTTTGTGACACCAAAAATTTCAAGCTCTCCATTGTTCCCATTTTGACCTTCTCCTGTAAAGTTATGTCACAAAAAGGGTCATATAAGAATCAGTTATTTCTTTTCATCCTCCTGAAGTCCTGAGCCAATAAAATATCTAAAAGCACTTGTTTTGTAGATGATTGTTTTTTGGGGACATCCAAGGACAGCGAAATAGATGCAACAATTATGAAAGAGCTTTAAGCAATCCTACAGCTTTTAACAGGTATAATAATTTGCATAAAAATCTGAAAAACAAGTTAAAAATAGATTTGTCGGAGAAAACTAATCTCGGGAGTTCAAGAACAGAAATAAGGTGCATCAGCTAAGAAAGAGAGGCCAAATAACTCATATATGGTGATCATCCTGATTTTGTAAATTGTGAAACTACCAACATTGTGTACATAGATAACAAAAGGCAAGCACTAAATATAAAATGTTCAGGACAAATTTAGATTTATTACTGCTTACTCATTGAATTTTCTTACCTTTTTCTTCTGGCTGCGGGTTGGAAGCGGTACAAATGTATTCACCCACCAGTAAATACCACAGATAGCAAGGCCCATTAGTACCACAATGCTCATCATACCCTTAAGAGAGACAGCCCAACCATCTACACCAGGCCCCAAGTTTTGCCTGAGTTGGGAGAAATATTTCACTGTTCGTCCAGAGAAAATGAGGGCAATATTAGCTCCTAGCCCAAACAGAGGATAAAATCTCTTAGCTTCATCAACCGTAGTGATCTGCAAGTGACAGTAAAGCATGTAAGAATTTGCAGATATATTTTTGAACAAAATTTAAGAAAGGAAGCCATATCCATACTTGATTGATAGCAAAGCAACAAAGATTTCCCTAGTGGATTCTCAAAGGATCTAATCACAGAGAAAAAATAAAAGAAGTGATGACATGACTGTAAATCTCCACACGTTTGAGAAAAAGAAACAGCAAACTCAAGGCTCCAAATTGTAAGGAAGTCAGCTTGTTCAAAATATATGTCATCACTACCAGTCTACCATGAACAACTAACTAAGAGGGTGTAGACGGTGTCTATTTGTACAACTAACTAAAAGGATGGGATTGCAGACAGATATTCTCAAAAATCTACCCATTCTGAAAGGAGTGTAAGTATTAAGTCACTTAATTTGAGATTTAGACCAACATGAAGAATGACTGGATACTAAATTGCCATTCTTTCAAAATTAAAAGCACTGTCCCCCATTAAAAGAGACAGTATACCCCAATTCTCTTAAATTAAAGCACTAACAAATAAGAAAGGTGGAAAGAGAAAAGACAGTAAGCTAATTGGGATTATACCCAAGATAGATAGTCAGGTCCAAGTGTCCAACCCCACATCTTACAAAATAATTACCATCCAATTAATCACAGCCTTGAGCAGATAATCTACACTCAATGGAGGTTTAGATGCCTTCCTCACGATGGTGAAAAGAAGTCAATTCCCCTCATTCAGAAGAAGATCTACCCCCCCCCCCCCGGTGGCAACACATAAATCTCAAATACTACAATCTTTATCTTTAAAAAGGTAGATAATCAAAATCACATACAACATCATAAGAAAATGTTACTACCTTTTAACAAAGAACTTAGCATCATGAAGACAAGCAAAAGTACAAAAGTGCAGCTACAAATCCTATCAGTAACAGACTAACAGTCTACAAAAATTACAGCACAATATTCCTCTACATGACATGACACATGAGTAGTTAAAGTTAACTGCAAAATCTTGTATGAAACGACTTACGGTCTCATATAATTAACTAAGTAACCTAGATAACTTTCTACTCGTATGGAGACCTCGTGACATTAAACTTCCTCAAGGGGTAACTTTGATGCCTCACACAAAAGACTTGCTCAATACTTTACACCATAAGAATCCACAAATAGATTTGACCCAGAAGCAACAATATGAGTCACAATCACTAAAGCATCTACTACCAAATAATACTTACAAAAAAATATTTTAAAAAAAAATCCTAGAACAGGCATGATAAGGTCACCTCAAAGCTACATTAGTCAACCAATAACTCAGCAAGAATCTGCCATATTGTCACACAGTGTAACAAGGCATGTAATTAAATTGTAAAACTCAAACACATAAGATGAGGAAAATTTTAAAATTGTTGATTTTCACAATAAATCAAGAATACATATCCCAAACAACTCATTGTTTATTAACAAATGATGGAACACCAAACTGTAATATCAACCAAACAAATAGATCTAATTTTCAAAATCTACTAAATTCCATTCAAAATTTATTTATGCACAATAATAGAATAGAATAAACTACAGAGTAAAATAAAATAAATACCACTCATTCTAGTATCACCCATAATCAAAGATGCAGAACATAAACATTAGAATTAGAATATACATAATAGGCATACAGTAACTAATCAAACTACAATAGTAATAATTCAATGGAATAATCACCTGATTAGCAAAACCCCAAAAGAGCACAGAAATGACCACACTCCCCCATAGCTCAGCCATGACATAAAACAAACAGAAACTCCAGATCCTCAGAATAGCAAGGGGACCGAGAAACCTCGGTCCGAGCACAGTCAGAAGCTTATCAGCAAGAGCAGTGGGGTGGAAATAATTGCTCATAGGATACAAGACAAACCCAAAAGCACCAAAGAAGGCAATGAAGGGAAGAATCACAGTATAAAACAATGTCTTCCTAGGCAAAACATCAGCCAATTTAGTGTATAACACCATAAAACCAACAGCCATTGGCAAATTAACCCAAGTTTTCAGAAATGGAATAATTTCAGCACTAGACCCTTTTGCTGTTACAACTAACACATCCTTAGTATCCCTCAAAATTGTGTAATTAAATAGGATACAAAAGAACATTAATCCAAGTGGAATAATCTTCTTATATGTGATTAATTCAATCCCCAAAAACTTTGGTTGTTGAATTTCATCACCACTACCACCATCAGGCGCAGCAGCAGCTGCAGCCGCCTCAGCCCGACAAATTGGAGAATTTCTCAAATTCTGGGCAAACCCTTTTGAATTTGACACAACCCCATGAAATTTTTGAAACCCATTTGAAGAAATTGAAAACCCTTGAAGAGGATTAGGTTTCAGGGCAATTGGGGTGCTAATTCTTTGCCTAATTAAACTACTTTGAGGTGATTTGAATACCCTTAATTTGGGGTTTGAAGGTAGAGAAAGAAGGCCCTTTGTTTGTAGAACAGCCTCCATGTCTCTCCCTCCCCCTTGTTTTCTTCAACAAAATCAAATGAAAATTGCAGGAAAAAATTGGTAATAAAAATACCCAGATACAAAAAATTACAGACAAATTGAAAAAAATGATGAAAACCCAAATTGGAATTTCAAGATATGAAATTTATTTTGTTTTTGAGGAGAGAGAAAATGGGAAGAGATGTGGTGATAAGGTGGCTGAGAAGATTTTTAGGCTTCTCAGAAGGAATATGGGGTTTGGTGAATTAAATTAGCAAACTTTATAATGGGAAAGAAATGGACAAGCCAAAAACCCTTAGATGAAAAATAAAGGGGTTTTACAAAAATACAGTAGGAATTTTGGAGGAGAAAATTGAAAATTAAAAAACATAGGACAAAATAATGACAGGACTGTGAGAGGGCAGCAGAAGAAAAATCTTGCAGATTTGTCAGAGGGATTAATGAAAAAGATTAGATGATTATGATAATTTTTTACTAATAATGTGATTAATGTGTTACCTTAATAACTACCATGACTCTTATGTTATTGTGGTTAATGTGTTGGCAATATTACTTTAATATGGTTTTCGTCCCTAATCTGACCATAACCTAAGAATTAGTATAGATTATGGAGTTTTTTAATTTTTTAATTTTTCATTTTTTATTAGTCAAATGAGATTTGACTCTCTAACTATTTATATTATATAAATAATCAACTACTTGTTAGTTTAATTCTATCATTACTTATAAAAATTGTGTTTTATATAGCATATCACATGTTCGTATAATGGTGTGATATTATCAATATCTCATCCCACTAAGACATTAACCACTAATTCTGTAAATTTCTCTTATAAAATTAATCAATATAAATTGCTTAAAACTAGGCAACAAATTTTTCTCAATTTAATATACACTTCCAGCTTAAACGCATCTAAAAATACTATTTTTAAAGCTTGCTACTAATTTTCTTGTTTAGTGATTTCTAGAAAACCATTAAACCATTATATATTGAAATTTCAATTTGAAAAATACTTCCACCTTGCATGTATTTAGGAATACCATACTAATTTGGTGGCTAGTAATAAATAAATTTCTTCTAAGTTATTTCTAGAAAGACATTTAATTTTGACATTTGGCCGTGTACTAAAATGCCCTTGAGATGCCTTGTGGGCTACTAGCATGAGATATTTGTTCTTCAACTTCTTGCTTATTTTGTGGTCTTGTGCAAAACCTTTTTCCTTTTTGCAACCCAAGTTGTTACTTTTGGTGCATTGCTGCTGCAAAAATTACTTGTGTTGATTATGATAGCAAGTTGTCAAACCTTATTTGTATGATGTGTTCATCTTTCATGCACAAGTTTTTAACCAAAAAAATCGAATCCAATCTTTAAATTTCCGATTCTCAATGTGATTTCTCCATCCCTTGACAATAGTGGGAAAACATGCACTAATGCCCAGTTTATTTCATCTTATTTTTACCAAACTGAAATTATTTTTTATAAACTAATTTTATATGACTATAATTATTTATTGAATAGTATTACTAACTCATTTAAAAAAAAAAAAAAAAAAGTATTACTCGTATTTGTGAGATATAAAATACCAAATACCCTTTTATTGTACATAATACATATAATAAGAAATTGAGGTAGTATTTTTATAACGTGAGGTAAATACTAAATAGGGTCCAATAAGAATATGTACTCCTTTTATTTCTTTTTGTTAATCATGTTTGGAATCTTTATATTTTGTATATTCTAATGCAAATGAAATTTCTATTTATTCTCTTAATACTTTACTAGCTACGCCTTATTTTCCGTAATGCTATTGGACTATGATTGCCCTATTAGTAAATCACTTTCTAAATTTAGAAATTGTTGACAATTACAATGAAATAATATCAATATATTTATTTTTTAAAAAAAAATCAATGCAATATTAATTTTAATTACCAGATTACTTATTAATTACTTGTATTATATATTTATAAAAACTTTTGTATACATCCGGTTTACACTAATATTAGTGTACATCGAGCAGTATAAGGGTAACTTTTAGCTAATTTTTAGGGTAACCTTTTGTCTTTTTTTGGGTAACTTTAAACATAATACAATTTTTATATAAATCAACAACAAGAAAAGTTTTATAAAGGTAATTTAATTACATTCAATCACTAATAATTGATTTTTAGTCATTTAAAATGTGATTCTTTACTAATAAAGCGTAGATAATTTTTATTTGAATTGGGTTACTTTAACGCATATTAGGGTAACTTTTATTCATTTCAGGGGTAACTTTTAATCACTTTAGGCTATCTTTATAATGGATGTACAATAATTATTGTACACCCGATTTTTTTAAAAGTTTGTAATATATTTATATGTACTATAGAAATTTGTTGAGATTATTTTTGGTATATAGAGATCGAGTCACGCACAAACACAAAAATAATGTATACGATATTTAATCTTTTAAAAGTATGAAATCATTCTAAATTTTAACTAATCAAGATGTGTAACATTCATGAACAAATGTACCTATATTATATGACTTTATGTTACATGTTCTACCAAAGTTGATTAGGTTCCGCCGACTCCTGGTCAAATTGTTTAAAAAGTTGAAGATTGCAACTTAGGAATGTATGAATATAATATATATCATGATCAACGTGACTAATGACAGTATGACACCAAGATTTGGGTCCATATATGATTTAATGGTACTCTTATATACATGGGATATGATATTTACAAAGCCTTATTTTTAATCATACAAGCAAGCTAAGGCACATAAGCCCCACCTCATGATGAGAACTATTTCAATAATCTACGTTATTAGGATAGTTTACCAAACTCATTAAGTACTTGGTCAACTAATTAGCTAGTAATAATGGTAAGATTTTTGTGTCCTCATTCAGAGGTTAACCAATAACCACTTGAGGAAAGGTCAAGCTTGACTCGGTAAAAAATGGATTGGAGGACTTGTGAGAGGTTTGATTAGTTACGATTAATTATTCATTTTGCGTATTCACATAAGAAAAAATATATATAAAAAAAATTGTAGGCTTTTTAATGGAGTATTATGTCATTCATGGTTATTTATTTTACATAATTACATAGTACTCGTATTATGTAAGACCTGGCCTTTCTAATGGATGTTCGTGTTCTAAGTTTAAGATGAAAATATTAGAGCACAAGAAAGATGATAAATGTGACAATGTCGTAACCATATTGGAAACATTTATTTATTTATTTATTGCTAAAAGACATGTATACTAATTAAATAGTTTTTTTGTACGGAAATGAAGGAGAGGTGATGAATAAGAAAGAAAGGTGGTGCTTGTCCTGCTTGGTTACTGTGAATTGTGATGACTTGAGGTATAAATGTTCGTTGTTTTTTTTCATGTACGGCTGTACGCTATATATGTATGAATTTTTTTTTTCTTTTAATGTATAGAAAGATACACAAAGCTAGACAAGTTTTATGTTAAGGCTATATACTTCATATAAACTTAACTTATCAGAATAATTAAAAAAAAAAAAAAGAAACTTTATAATTTACAGGATGATTTATACCTTGATGAGCTTGTAAGAAATGACCTAATTAACAAGAAGGAAACATGCATAGTCTATGCACAGGTTGATTCTCTGTAAAAGTGACCACACCATAGTGGAGAAAATACATTTGTTGAGTAATGATAATAATAACTTTGCTGTTACTTTATATAACAAATAAGGCATGGAATTTTTAGAGTTGTAAATCGACATTTTATAAATATTAATATCATATCAATTCAGGAGTATGTGGTAAAATCACTAATTGACAATTGATGTTATAATTTAATAATCCTTAATTATATTTTACATTTACATGCACAATTCTAAATATTGTATAAATATATCATCGCTCATCCTATCAACTACTCTGTATAAGGAATAAGTTGTTTCTTTTTAACATGAGCGTATTCAATGTTGTATTGTAGAGGAAAAATTATGAACATGATTTGTTTATTTTTAAAATTTTATGGTGAAACTAAACAAAGAATATGAATATACCTTTTCTATTGGGTTTGATATGAATATTCTTTGTTCTTTCTTTTATTATAAAAAAATAAAAATAATCATAAGGTGCCCAATACATGGACATGGGCGTTCGGAATACATTGATAGGGAAACCTAGAAAGGGCAATTGGGCCAATTGGCAAAGAAGCATTTTTGAAATGCGCATATTCTTTCTTCACTCAATAATTTTGTGAGGAAGATATTTTACACGTGTACGACAGATAATAATCCACGTGGCAAATACAAAATAGTCATCTAGGATTAATCAATCACATAAACCTCGAGGCATTCAATTTTTGGGGGCAAAGTAAGTCCCAAGACTTCACTACACGTGAACGTAATCTCTTACCTCCACTACTCCAAGTCTCCAAATATTCACCATCATTCCATGCCAAAATTTAATCCTACTCATAATAATCTGGCTTTGTTCCTTTGAGTTTCTTGGCAAAGTAAAATAGAAGTTAGTGGAGTAGAGCAGGACATATTTCAGCAATGTAGAGCCGGACTTTCAATACGTTGTAGAGCAGAATAGAACGGAACAAGACAGACAGATCAAGGTAGAGCATAGCAGAACAGGGTAAGGCCGGGGAGCAGAACAGAGTTGAACAACTCAAAAGAAGAAGGTCTTACTCATATTATGGAATTCTTCTTTAGTTCCAAAATTTAATTTACCACAACGCGTTTTCAGTGTGGCTAGACATATCATGTGGTCGGCTGATTCACATCAAAACACTAATTGGGTAACTCCTAACCTGTTGATTAACCCCTGACAACCGAGTAACCACCGACCAAGTAACCCCTGACTGACTAGGTAACCCCTGACCGACCGAGTAACTCCTGAATAAGCAATTCTGATCGTACGGTGTAGTCAGCCACATATGAAACTATGTTTTTTTTTAGAGAAGATAGAGCGAGCATTTAACCACATATGAAATTATGTAATTTGACTAATATCATG